GCGCCCGCCCCCAGAGCCCCTCGGTGGGCCCCGCGGCTGGCCGGCTGATCCGGGGGCGCCCCGTGCAGGTCCTCAAATCCCTCAACAAGACCTACCAGAACCTGAAGAGGCGGCCGGTGGCCGTGGACCTGGACCCCAAGGCCGTCACCTGCGACGAGCTCTTCGGCATCATCAACCCGGCGACCAGGGAGTGGAAAGACGGTACCTGGCGGCCCCCCGCGGCGCCCAGGCCCAGCTGAGGCGCAGGGCACGGACAGGCCGGCTCCCCGCCCGGGCCTGGGCATCGGGGGGCGGGCGAGACCTGGGGGCGGGAGGGGGTGCCCTGTCCCAGGGCCTCTGCTGTCTCTGAAGTCGGGGTCTGGCCCCCTCCAGGACAGAGGGCAGGCGCAGGCAGCGGGTGTCTGCCCCGGTAGCTGCAGAGCACCCCTGGTCTCTGGGGGCGCCGCTCACAGCCTGCTCACCCGGGCCCCCGCACCTGCCGCCTCCCCTGACGGCTTTTCACAGGCCTGTTTTCCACCATCATGAGGGACCTGGCCAACCTCACCCACGACGGCCCCAAGTGGATCGTCCTGGACGGGGACATAGACCCCATGTGGATCGAATCCCTCAACACCGTCATGGATGACAACAAGGTTCGAGGGGCCGCTGGGTTCCAGCCCTCACCCCCCAAACCTCCATCAGGGGCCGTGGGGGGCAGGAGGGCTCCCCCAGGAGACCCGGCCCCACCATGGGCTCCCCTCGGGCTCCCTGCGCTCCGCCTCGGGTACAGACGGGAGAGCCTCCCCGTCCGGGCCGCGCAGGGCAAAGGGCAGTGGGGTCCGTGGGTTTACGCAGCAGCCCGAGAGCTCCGCTCTGAGCGCCCCGGGATTCCCGGGGGCGAGGGCATCTGACACGACACTCAGCTCCTCCCCGTCCGTCCCGGGGCCGCCATCCTCGGGGCGCAGGCGCGGAGCGGGCACGGGTGGCCGAGAGACGCCAGGGGGCAGCTGGAGCGGCGTGGGGGGCCCCCACTCGGGCACGCTCGTCAGGACCATGGCCCTGGCCGCTGGCCCGGGCGCCCCCCAGGTCCTCACCCTGGCCAGCAATGAGCGGATTCCCCTGAACCGCACCATGAGGCTGGTGTTCGAGATCAGCCACCTGAGGACGGCCACCCCGGCCACCGTGTCCCGAGCCGGCATCCTCTACATCAACCCCGCGGACCTGGGGTGGAACCCGTGAGTGGGCGGGCGGGCGCCGGCCCTGGGC